CCGCCTCCGCCCCCTGGGCCTGGGCGCCGCCGGCCCCCCGGGGCCCCGTCTGGGTGCCAGTGGCAGCCCTGAGCCCGGCCCTGGCGTGCTCTACGTGAGCGAGGCGGCGCCACGCGACAGCTTCGTGGCGCTGGTCAGCACCTGGGACCGCGACTCGGGCGCCAACGGGCAGGTGCGCTGCACGCTGCACGGCCACGAGCACTTTGCGCTGCGGCGCGCCTACGGCGACAGCTACGTGCTGGTGACGGCGGCCGCGCTGGACCGTGAGCACCTGCCCGAGTACAACCTCACGCTGGTGGCCGAGGACCTGGGCACGCCGCCCTTCCGCACAGTGCGGCCCTACACTGTGCGCCTGCGCGACGAGAACGACAATGCGCCGCTCTTCGCCCCGCCGCCCCTTGGCCGCGTGGCTGTGCCCGAGAACAACCCCCCCCCGGCGCCTACCTTGCCACTGTGCTGGCCCGCGACCCCGACCTGGGCCCTAACGGTAAGGTCACCTACCGCCTGCTCGAGGCCCAAGTCGCTGGTGCCCCTATCTCCGCTTACGTCTCTCTTGACCCCACCACCGGTGTCTTGCGGGCCCTCTGCACCCTGGACTACGAGGCACTGCAGGTGCTGGAGCTGGAGGTGGAAGCCTGCGATGCGGGCACCCCCACATGGTGCAGCCAGAGCCATGTGCATGTTCATGTGCCGGATGGTAATGACCATGCTCCGGAGATTGTGGCCCCGCCACTGGTCAACAGCTCTGCTGAGCTGCCTCTGCCATGCCACGCCCCACCAGGCTTTCTGATTGCCCATATTGCTGCCCAGGATGAGGATGAAGGACCCAATGCAGAGCTGTCCTACTCCATTGTGGCTGTTGCCCATGACCCCTTTGCACTGCATGAGCACACTGGGGTGCTGTGGCTGCGCCGCAGGCTGCGGGGTGGAGAGGTGCAGGCAGCACTCCCACTTGTCATTATGGTGCAGGATGGTGGGCGGCCAACCCTATCCTGCACTGCCACCCTCCAGCTCATCCCCACTGATGTGCTGCCCTCCAGAGTGGAGACTGTGGTGCCACAGCTCCTGGCAGAGGAGCAGCCCCCACAACCTGGTTTGGACCCCTTCATGGTCTTCATTGTGGTGCTGGCTGGTGGCTGCTGCCTGCTGCTGGCTGCAATCATTGGTGTAGTCTCCACCTGTGGGAAGAGTGTGAGTGGCTGCAAAGGGAGGCCCCGAGAGCAAATGAGAGACCTGGAGGGCAGGTGGCTAAAAGGTCTGGACCCCCTGGCAGGGAGTCCCTCTGCTGGCCACCAGGTGGACTTCTGCCAACTCGCCGTCAGCCCTGGGGTTGAGCACCCCTTTGATGATCCCTGCTCGGAGGATGGCAGCTGCGAGTCCTTGTGTCATTCCACCCAGGAGAGGAAAGGGACCGTTGACTCCCAGGTAAGCCTACCTCCCTCTGAGCAGCTATGCAATAGTCATTGGGTTACCCATCCTAGAGTCTCTTGCTCACTGAGGTCACTTGTGCAGAGCTAATGAATTTGGGCACTTTCTTTGGTCAGAAGAAATGATGTGTGTTTGGTCAGAAGAAACGATGTGTGTAGGTGTAGTGATCTAACAGACAGCATGCTGACCTGAGAGTCCAGAAATCTGGATTCTCTTTTCACTTTGTCACTAACTTGTGCACCACCATCTCAGTTTTTCTATCTGAGAAATGGGCATAATTTTTTCACTTATTTCTGTGTGGTGTGTTAAGGTGTATGAATAAAAAGTGTTAAACTAGAGCTACATATCTTTGTACTGACCTATGTGGCAACACTATTAGGGTGTGTCCCAATGAGCGCGCACATGCAGTTTAGGGCACCTCAAAGCAGTCTGAGGCACCCCAAACTACATGTGATGCATGTGTACCCATTTGTTGCACTGCTCATTTGCAGTGTGGTAGGTTATTTTTTGTTAACACCAGAAGATCCTCGTGTTACAAAATACCACCACTGAAAAAGGTGTTGTGGTGTACATGGCAGCAGCGTGTGTCACCAGAAAGGGAGCCTGGCCGGTCAGAGCTATACTGTGGCTACTAGCCAGGCACTGAGCAGCTGGCTTGGCACCATTGCTGCCCCAGGAGGCCCCCAGAGCCCCAAGTAAGGCTGAGGCCAGCAGGCCCCAGCATCCTCTGCCCTACCTTCGTAATTTTGCTGCGAGCCGGAGCATGCATGCAGGGGCGTGCCTGGAAACAAATAGCGTGCCTGGGGACTTATTTAGGCCACCACTATTTGTCCCGTGGGAAGTGCACACCCCTGCATATACATGCTCATTGGGATGCACCCTTGATTTTCACTTATTTCTATTTTCCAGTTTATTCAGATCATCTCATCCAGTTGTTTAAATACTAAATTCACCTGAATTAATTGGGTTGCTTCTGTGTTGACTAACAGATATTTTCCTCTCTTGTCAGGATCAAGTCCTTATTTCTTCTCATTCTTCACATACTTGCAAGGAGGGTTTATCTGCTTCAAGTTTAAGGTAAATTTAATGTTTTCTGATGCTTCCTTTTTTGCAGTTTTTTTTTTTTTTAATTTTTATTTTTTTACAGTATTTCATATGGGTACCGTGTATGGAAAAAGAAAGTACAGTAATGATTTCCCTTTTGTTTTTAGTGCTCATTCAACTCCAGATCAGTTTAGTGTGAAGGACAGTGGGAAGGGAGACAGCGAGTTTAATGACAGTGATTCTGACGTCAGTGGAGAGGGGCTGAAGAAGACCCCTTCACAGATCACGGAGAAGCAACTTGTAAGTGTAAATTTAACATCAGGACTCATCATTGCACCACATGGAAAAAGACGGTTAAGTGGTAGCGCGCTTTCCAGCAGTGTTTAAAATTAACACAACCTATAATACAGAAGCTTTGCAATAAGAAATTAATGGAGCAGTGGAATTAAGCAGGTGTGAAACGACTGACAAGTCGACTAGCCTATTCTAGCCTAAACTTTTTATTTTATTTGTTTATTTATTTTTTAAGTAACTGGTGCTTTGGGAGCGTCTGGGAATATTTTTGTTTTGTTTTGTTGTGTTTTTTGTTTTGTCTTTTTTGTGGGGATGGAGCTCTTTGCATGACAGGAACCTGATAACTAGAAAATGCTGAGCACCTGCTATCTAATCTATCTGAAGCCAGAACATCTCGAGACTGAGACATCTAACAAGACCAAGGGTTGCTTATGCATTTTTTTGGCCCTCTGTCTTTATTTGTGCCTGTTGTGCTCTTGGGCATTGGGGTGGGGGGAAAGGTAGATCTTACAGTTAAATTACTAAGTGTCTGAATCCTGTGTGTATGGTATGACAATTTCTCTTATTAAAACCGTGTGATAAATCTTGTTGTTCATTGATTCCGATCAGTAGTAATTGTCATTCCTGCACAGGAATATATGCATATGAATGCGTATTTAATCATTGATAGGACAGTTTGTCATATAACTTCCTTTAAGAGAAGTAGGTCATTGTATTGCAGAAAAATGTCTGACTATCAAACTTTGCTTTTCTTCCAGGTACTGTGGCCTGTGAAGGTAGAAGGGCTTGCAAGGATGCAGAAGAATACTGTAGTTCTTATACCTACCAGCTCCAGGAAAGCAAAATGCTTCCTTCACGTTACAGAAATGGTTATATGATTATACATTTTTCAACACCCCTTTATCAGTCCATTCCTCACCTCCAGAAGCCTAGCTTTCTTTCACAGCACCCAGACCTGAAGGAGTGTTATTATCCAGTCAGTATCTCTAAAACTGAAAGGCTGCAGAGTGTTTGTGAAAGAGTACTAAGTGGTAACTTGTCATCTATGCTCTCTGGACAGTATGAAGGATTGAATCGCCCTTCGCAGAACATTTTGCCCTTAAATGCTTCAGAAGTGGCAACATCATTCTGAAATATTATTGGACAGACATGAGAGTATTGCGAATGTACTAAATATGTAAATGAAATCTAACTCTTCTACCCTCTTCCCCTATCAAATCAAATCTCCTTTAACTATGGCAAAAACAATCAATGTGTAGACACATCATCCTACCAAATTTATCGGCTATATTTTACCAAAGAGTCTTAATTAAAACTGTATTAAAATGTGTAGTTATGGCTGCTAAAAATGATAAAAGCAAAGGCATATGTTTTATACTGAAACAATTTTACAAATGTAAATAAGTGTAGATCCTGGTGTATATGTGTGTATATATACTATTAAAAATGCACATGTGCTTATGCTGTTACTGAGTGATTCATTCCTTGTTAGCTGTAATAACCTGGTTATTAGTAATAACCTGGTTAGCAGTAATAACCTGATACAGCAACTATCTATATAAAATAACAATAAACATACATCTAGGCTGCAGTTCTGTAGCCAGTGCAGTCAAGGCCCTGGAGATTTCATCTCATGATTACTGAATAGGAGTCAAATAGAACAGCCTTTAATCATGAAGAATAACTATGTTGAAGGACTGGAGCCATTCTAATATGATTGTGGATACTGATTATTTGGTCTCTGCAGTCTTATTGGCTGGTTGACCATTTTGAATGATGCCAGACCCACATTCAATTCCCATAGTTTAATAATGCTGCACTGATTCACATACACTTTATAGGCACAAAGATTTTTCATTGTTTTAAAAAAAAAAAAATACTGATGAAGGGAGAAGAAAGATGGTAAGGAATTGTTTTTGTTTTGTCCGTGTGTCCTACTGTGCTATGAGTGTGAAATAATATTAAAACACTCTGTGAGTATGTGGGTTGAAACTGGGCAGCTGGAGAAGAAGGCAGAGAAGGAAAAGCTAAAGGAGAAAGTTACCTTTTTAAGTGCTTGCTTCCTCACTAAATGTCAAAGAGCTATTTTAGCAGCTGTTTGGTCCTCTTTCAGATGCTGTTGACTCGCATTCCAGTGAAAAGTGAATCTGAATGTGGTTCAATATTGTTTTTAATTAAATAAAATGAGTTGAAATTGGCTTGGGGGGGGGGGGCGCTGCAAAATGTTGTTATTATTCAGCTGGGTTTCTTGGCGATAATGTGGGGAAAGGAATCTTAGCAGGCTAGGGAACCTTAAAAAAGACAGCAAAAATATATATAAAAGCTTTTATAACTTTTCTGTAGTTTCCCTGCATCATTTTGTGAGGAATTCTCTAATAGTGGAAGGCTATAATTCAGCAACATTAAAAAAAAAAAAAACAAGGTCAAAACTTCAAAATATAAAATGATTGAGCCATATTCTAGCAGTGCTAAACTATTCTAGTGTGTGTGGCTAGAGGCTGTTCATTCACTTAACAGGTATGTAAAAACAACCATGCACCTAAATTGGGCACTTATACCTTACTAAACTATATTTTATAGCAAAAGCTCTGTTATCTGGCATCCCCCAGGAATGGGGGATGCTGGTTAATCAAATGTGCATCAGTTTTACTGTCAATGTCAGTTTTATTGTTATATTCACCTCTAACTGAATTATTCTCATTGCTAATTTAGAAATAGGTATGAGACTGGAATCAAATCCAGGGAATCAAAAAATGGACCTGAATTAAGTATCTGCATAATGGGCCCATACAAAGTCTTAGAGGCAAACAGACAGGTTTGAAAATGATGCCTGCCCCTCAGATTTTTGCCATGGGAGGTGCAGCTCTGAACCAAAACTTTTCAAAAGATTACAGGGCTTTGGTGGTTAGCCTGAAGTAAGTGTGAGCTATGTACAAATGTGGGTGCATCTACATGAGATGTTTACTGCAGTTGCCTAATTAGCTTTTCAGTAGTCTCAACATCTATATGTGCAGCCCTGTTAGGCCACAGATAACTAATGAACTCTGCTGGTGTTCTTTAGTGTACTGCAATGCATGGGTATATGCTGATGAGGCTGGTTGGGGTTAGCCAGCAGGCAGCTCCCGCACCGAACCCTTGTGCCTGACACTAGAGCACCCGCACTGAGCTGGGTCGGAGCAGCCTCAGGCTGGCAGGCTGACCCTTGGGGGCCCCTGCTAGCTGGGGCTGCCCTGACCCAGTTCAACATGCTGTGGTCCTGGGCGCATGTAAAGATGCAATGCCTGAGAGCAATAAGGTCTGGTGTAATCTGTGCTAGAGCTTATTGTTCTGTGCTAATAGTACAGGTACATGCAACCACAGTGTACAAAAGTTACTGCTAACGTTTAAAAACTATTTACTAGTCTACTTTAGCATTTTTAGTTTAGTTTAGGGGGGCCAGCCCACAGCACCATGTCATCTAGCTGATGGGGCTTTCCACGAGTCTGAAAATTTGGTGGTAGAGGAGCTGTGGCATTGTTCCCCTACTGCCAAATCTCTGGGTCCCTGGGGAGCCCCAAGCCTTTTATTCTGAATCCATGTAGCACCAGTGCTGGGGCCCAGGGCCCAATCTCGGTGTGCTGGAGCAGGAGGGGGCAATGCCAGGTTATTGGGAGCGTACGGGGCACTGGGCCCCTAGGATCCAATCTTGGCACAAGGGGATGGTGCTGGACCCCCGGGACCTATTCCCAGCAGGAGGGCTGGTGCTGGACTCCTGGAACCCAATCCCAGCATGTGGGAGATGGGAGGGGGCAGTGCTGGGCCCCAGGGCCTGATCCACCCCACAGACATTCCTGTACCACTCATTTGGCCTGCAGGGCCAAAAGGTGGAGCACTCCTAGTTTATAGGAGAACTAGCTATTAGTAGATTATACATTGTCCCGTCACAGAAAAACACAATTACTAGTTACTCTAAATCAGGGCTGTCCAACTTCTGAGTGCCTGGGGGCTGCATGGGCCATGTGCCCTCATGCTACATACTGTCCTGGTGCAGTGCTCCATAGACACCACCCTACTGCATTCTGTGGTAGGTGGCCACCACTATACCGTGCCATCCCTGCCACCCTCTGCACACTACACGCTATGGCTCTTGCTGCGCTGTGTGCTCCCATCCCCTGCCACTGGGCAGACACCCCGCTGCTGCACAATGCTGTTGGCTGTCTCACTGGTGCTGCACCATCCCACTCTGCCTCAGGGCTAAATCATGTTATGTTAGCAGTTCCTGAAAGGAGGAATCATGGGATGGATGGCTATTAATTTCTGCAGGGACAGAAAGGGCTATTTTTCTGGTTAAATGCTGGGTGTCAGAAAACTTGGCTTGTGTTCCTAGCTTTTTCCAAGCTTCATATATTTCCCAGAACAGGGATAAACATTTCGGCCAAATTCTATTTCAGAGTTTTGCACCTAAATGCTAATTATGAGTGCATGTTTAGCCATGTAAAAATATTTTTTGGCATTTGGACAGATTTGAGATCTAGTTTCCACCAATGCAGTTTTCACCATTGACCTACCTTTGCTCTTCTTAATGTGCTCAGAAGGACTTAACATAGCTAGATATGTTCTGTGGTGGAAATGATTGCATGGGCAGGTGTACCTGGAGAGGGGTGAGTGTGGCACCTGCCCCAGGTACTGACTTAAAGGGGTGCCAGCAGGGGGACAGCAAAATGCCCCCACCAGGGAGTCTTTGCTTTGGTAGGCACAGCTCAGACATAGAAGCCAGGCAGCCCTGTGTCTAGTAGCATATGGGCATAATGGTGCCCACCCCTCTGGGATTTTTGCCATAGGAGGCACAGCTCCTTGCTCAGTAGCATTTGTGTGTGGGGAGAAGAGTGAACAAGGCCTCAAGGGCAGCCACATAGTGTGGGATTCCTGGGGGGCTGTCCCTGGTGCCTTGTTCACTCCCCTCCATACACTGTGTGCCAGGAGCTGTGCCTCTCATGGCAAGAATCCCAGGTGGTGGGGATTATTCCTCTCAACCTCTCCCTGATGTATGCTACTGGGCAAAGGGCTGCCCAACTTTTGTGGCTGGGGTGTTCCTGCCATAGCAAAGACTCCCCCACA